TGATTCCCATCCCCCTTCCTTTAATTCCCATTTGTCTAATCCAAAGAACTTCTATCTCCACAGCCCCCCAGCACTGTGTGTTAGCATCTGCATATCAGATAGAACATTCTGTCTTTGGTTTTTTGGGATTGGCTTGTTTCACTAAGCATGATAGTCTCCAGTTCCATCCATTTATTGGTTGCTTTTTTTTGTTTTGTTTTGTTTTTGAGATAGGATCTCACTGTGATGCCCAGCCTGCCTTAAACTTGCAATCTTCCTGCCTTACCCTTCCAAATAGCTGGGATTATGGGTGAGCACCACTGTGCCCAGCTAAAACTTTTACTTTTTCAAGTCCAAACCAAAGATGTTATATCCATTGACTATTTAAAATCTATTTATTTGTCAAGACCCTTCTCTACTCTTACTCCCAGTGAAGCTAGACTGTTCTCTTTGCTATCACAGCTTTTAGATCCACTTAAATAAAGCATTTATAACATTATATTGCAATTATTTTATTACATATCTGTTTTGTTAACAAAGCTGTGAGTTGTGAGTGCGCCCATTGTAACGATATTCCTAAGTATTAGTAAGCATCCCATTTATTAATAAATGCCAGATAAATGTTCTCCAAATTATCTTGAATTGGTTTAAACATGGCATATGATAGAAAACACTCATGTTATAAAATATTAGTGGTCTGAGATCACTTGTAACTGTAATATGAGTTATTTAATATAAATTTTGATGGTAATATTTGTATGAATAACAATAGATTCAAAATATAAGGGATTAGATAAAGAGAAAAGATATAGCTTCCAGCTTTAGATAGTATTTGGAACCGCCTTCTAAAATTTATCTTTGTTCATCATAATCTTGTCTGTTTCAGGCTTATGCTTGATATTTAATCATTAGCTAGAAGAATAATTAGAAACCATCTAATTCAGTGTTATTTCTATTGAGGTAAACTGAAACTTGCCTTGGCATTGACCTCTTTAGAGTCAGAACAAGGTTTGCTCTTTATGAAAGACCATGAAGCTTACCTACCTGCTCCTACACCAGTCTTCTTTCCAAACAGTGATTTGTGATTATTCGTTGAATAAAATCAAGTGCTATAGTAGGTTAACCTCAGGGTATTTTTAATGGATATTCAGAGAAGCACCAAAATGGTGTCTGTCAGAGTTACTTCCAATTTCTTTGGAAAACTCGTTTGTATTTCACATAAATTCTTTAGTTAGAAACACAAATTGATTTATATTGAAGATTACAGTGCAAGAAAGGAGAACTTCTTAGATAACTGTTCATATGTTTTTAATATATCTTTAGAAGAAATCTTTGTATTTTAACAAATAGTACATTTAGTAACTATTTTTGTTGGAAGTGGTGTTGGGGTCTGAAACACAGAAATGAAAAATACACAGCTCTCTTCTTTAGCAGTTTTAATCTTTGGTAATAAGTATCAAAAGCATATTATAATACCTTGTAATAAGCGCTACAGTAAGCATATTGTGGATTTTAAAATACCACAGAACTAAACCAATTGATTATTTATACATAAAAATTACAATTGAATCCTTACTTCATACCATAAACAAAAATAAGTTCTAAGTGAATCAAATACCCAAGTGGGAAAGGCATAGATTGTATAAGAAAAAAGTGGAGTCAATCTTTATAATTCGAGGGCAGGAAAGGACTTGCTAAACAAGCTACAGAAAGCACTGCCACTCTTTTTTCTTTTTTTCTAATTTTAGTTGTAGACCTTTACTTTATTTATTTATGAGGTGCTAAGGATTGAACCCAGTGCCCCACACATGTGAGGCAAGTGCTCTACCACTGAGCCACAACCCCAGCCCAGCACTGATACACTTTAAAATAAAAAAATTGATAAATTTTACTGAATCAAAATGTAACTTTTATACATTGAAGTAAACTTTGAACCAAATTAAGACAAGATATTTTTAGTTTATCCTATACCAAAAGAGTATGTAGAAAATCCCACATATTTCTTGTGTTTTATGAGTTTTGTTAAGGAAGTCAGAGCCTAATCCTACATGATGAAGATTTGGGCCTACTTTTTCTTCTATTATGCACAGGATCTCTGGTCTAATTCCTAGGTCCTTGATCCACTTTGAGTTGAGTTTTGTGCCTGGTGAGAATTAGGGGTTTAATTTCACTTTGCTACATATGGATTTCCAGTTTTCCCAGCACCATTTGTTGAAGAGACTATCTTTTCTTGAAAGTATTTTTTTGGCATCTTTGTCTATTATGAGATAACTGTATTTATGTGGGTTGCTATCTGTCTTCTATTCTGTACCATTGGTCTACAGGTCTATTTTGGTGCCAATACCATGCTGTTTTTGTTACTATTTCTCTGTAGTATAGTTTAAGGTCTGATATTGTGATGCCTCCTGTTTCACTTTTCTTTCCAAGGACTGCTTTGGCTATTCTGGATCTCTTATTTTCCCAAATGAATTTCATGAATTAAAAAAAAGAATCCCACATAAATATTAAGAAAAACAAATCCAATAGAAAAATTGGACAATGGCTATGTGTAGAAAATGTCAAAAAGAAGCAGCCCCAAATATAAAAGGATACTTAACCTTGGTAGCAATCAAAGAATGTAAATTAAAACCCATAGTGAATTTCTTTCTTTTTTAAAAATATTTTTTAGTTGTTGATGAACCTTTATTTTATTTATGTTATGTGGTGCTGACAATCAAGCCTAGTACCTCACGCATGCTAGGCAAGCGTGCTACCACTGAGCCACAACCCAGCCCCCCCATAGTGAATTTCTATTGCATACAAATCAAACTGAATGAAAGGAAAGGAAAGATCTAATAGGGCAAAGTTTTGGCAAGTATATGAAGCAATGAGAAATCTCCATACTCTTGGTAGGAGTACAAATGGGTATATTTGGAGAGCAGTTAAGATGAATAAATTTGGGCAACATGTGAACATCTAAAACATTTTTTTTAAATATTATGTATGTTGAGAAAAGAACACAGGTATTTAGTTAGTCATGTATAGCTAATTATAACGAATTAAAAAATAAAAAAATTAAAAAGTACAGAGAGGATATTAATTTTTCAAAGCAGGTAAATTTTCTCATAATATTGATATTGTTTCTTTCTGTTGGAATGGTCAGTTCATAGAATTCTGATGACTAAAGTTACCAAAGGAGTCTCTTATGACCTTAGTGCATAATATTTGGAAGGTACTCAGGTTTGAGAACTCTATTCATGTTTTGGTAAGTAAATCACCAAGAATGTAAACAGAAGTTTCAAACTTTGAACTGATTTATAAACAGGTCTAATACTTGTACTCTTGAGCAAGTTTTATGGACCATCCAACCCTAAAGCCCAAGGCCAGCTCAGGTGTGAGGATTGTGCAAGGCCTGGCTCTACCATTTTTTTCATGGGCTACTTGACCACTGCTTACATGGTCCTGCTATTCATATGTATCTTCTCTATTTGTATCCATTTGTTTCTTGTAAGAATTTTCTCTTGGGTACTCTGGTTGGGATGCTTTGATTTTTGAGTGATTGTCTATATAAGCTTTTTTTGGTACTGAGGATGAACTCAGGGGTACTCTACCACTGAGCCATATCCTCAGCCCTATTTTGATTTTATTTAGTGATAGGGCTCACTGAGTTGCTTAGTGCCTTGCTTTTGCTGAGGTTGGCTTTGAACTTTTGATCCTCCTGCCTCAGCCTCCCTAGCTGCAGGAATCACAGTTACATGCCACTGCACCCAGCTATATGAACTCTTATACTTTTTGCTTGTATCGAATGGACCTATCAAGTTTCACAGAATTTCACTTTTCCATTTTATTTGGGAGAAATGCTATTTTATTTTTTCTGTGCCATCCATGATTTTTATTTCTTCCTTCCTGCCTTTCATTATTTAATTTTATGTATGTATGTATGTACTAGGGGATTGAACCCAGGGCTGTTCTACCATTCAGCTACATCCCCATCCCTTTTTATTTTTTTATTTTGAGACAGGGTTGCAATAAATTGGTAAGTGTGGCCTCCAATTTGCAATCCTCCTGCATCAGCCTCCTTAGTTGCCAGAATTATGGGTGTGCTCCACCATGCCCTGGGCTTTCGCTATTTTGTACTGAACATTTCTGTTTCCATAAGTCTTTCCCATATTCACTTATTTCTTTAAGGAGGAAATGTCACTTCTTTAAGGAACTTCTAGTCTTTTCTGATACCTGTAGTAGGGCACAAGGAATTGACTGTGAGGTAGGTGAGGCAAGTGAGGTCAACCGTAGCATTTAGATTTTTCATGAGTTGCGTTGTCTAGAACAGTACATAGCATACCAGGGGAAATTTGGTAATGTTAAGTAATGTTTTCTAGTGCTGTAGCACAAAAAGGTTTAGACTGTAGGGCTGGCAGTTTTCTAGCTATGTGATCTTGGAAAAACTCATAAAAACTCTTGAAGTTGGAAAAGACTCTTATAAAAACTGTAAGCCATAGTTTTATCCATCAGAGGATGGAAATAATAAAACATCTCATGGAGTTGTGTAGTTTAATTTATTTGAAAGTGCATTGTAAATTATAAATTGCCATACACATATGCAATAGTAGTGTCATCAATATTATTTTTTTATGATGTCCAACATTCTTTCGGTCTTTCTTGTATATCCAGTATGTAGTATCAGTATGCTCATAGTTCAACACAAAGTAGCTTTCATTTCTATTTTCTTAGTGACCTTTCTTTTCTAAAGAAATGACAGATTATTTATTCATAAATGCACTGCAGCTGAGCACATCTCTTTTAGCATGTAAAATTATTAAATATGAGTTTGTTGCTTCTTGGGGATGCTGCTAGGTAGCACATTCAGGGTCATAGGCCACAATTCCCAGTTTGTGGGGGCTGCCCTATAGTTTGCTGAGACTGTGCCAGAAGGTTTGGGGTCAATAAAAGGAAACTGCCAGAATTTATTTCCTTTCTAAAGAAATCATTTATCAAGAAATGAAAAACTACTGAATTACAAAATGGACATTAGACATTAGTAAATGGACATTAGAGAAACATGGAAAATTATTGAATATGGAAAAATTTCAGGGCCCATCAATATACCATTGGATGATATAGGTCAAATTCACATAAACCAAGAGATTTCAAAGGGAGGAGGAGTACAGTGAAGTAAAACCATCCACATCTGGAAGGCTCATGTTTTTTGTCTAGCTGGAGTAAGAAAGAAACAAGACAACTTTGGACGTAGCAATATCTTTGGACTTTAATAGTGCTGAGCAGTATGCTAGAAATTGGACAAAATAGGCAACGTAGAAAATGCCAGAGGAGCTTGACTTCTGAACACAAGTTAGCTAGCTCTTTATAATGGTGCAGCCTGAGAGAGTGGAATGAGAGAGAGAAAGAAAGACAGAAGGAATGCTCATGTCACCAGTTAATTTGTAAGATAATTTTGAACAATTCAATTACCATTTGAATTTCTTCTTCATCTATAAAATAGAATACCACTTACCTTGCCTATTTTGAAACCTATTGTGGATTGATTGTGATGTGTATGTAATTTGCCATGGAAATATGAGAGTTAGGATTTTAGGACTTAGTTTTTATGTGGTTTGGAGTAGTATTGTCAAAAACCAGGTCAACAAACAGGCTTGACTTTAAGGATAAGATTATGGGAGCCAAAAAAGTAGATGAAATTGGAACAATAAAATATTAGCATCATCCAAGGACTTAGCACATGATGTATACAGTGCAACTTTGCTGTTATTTATGATTTACTAAATAGACATAATCGAAGAATCAAGGTCAGAAAAATAGTTGCTTTTGGAGAGAGAGGGAGATTAACTGGGAAATGAAATGAGCAAACTTTCTAGGCAGATAGAAATATTCTATTTCTTGAGTGGAATATTAGTTATACAGGTGGGTGCATTTTTCAGAACCCATTGAACTATACACTTAAAATCTATGCATTTCCTGCATAGTTAAACAACATAATAAAGGCAGAAATGTTTAGTGGAAAAAATTACTAGGTATGAAACTGTCAAGCAGCTACAGATTATCTTACAAGTAGAACTTCTAATTGTGGTGGGAAACAGGGTGAAGGAATCTTTAAAATAGCTGCAGTGGAGTTAACCCAGAAATGCTTGAGTTAGGTTTTGAGGCAAGATTCATCTGTTCATTGGCAAAAGAAGGGAAAGGCCCATTAAATTCTGGAGACGATATGCACAAGGGCTCAAAGGGTGCAAACTGAGAGAGGACTCAGATTAATTTTTAAAAAATTAAAGATGGAGAAACAATGTTTTAATTGGTCTGTTAATAAAATAATTGTAATAATAGCCTATGAAAAATTAGTCATTTAATTATATTTTGGATTATTACTACATAATGTATTTCTTTAGAATGTTCTTTTTGAGAATTGAATATTCTACTTAGTACAGCAAGAAACATGAAGATCCACATTTGTATTTATACCTCTAATATCTCTATTTCTCAGGAAACTAGTATTCACAGGATCATTAGCCCACTTATTTGAAATTATGTTTGCTTTGATGACTTTTGTTTTATTACATTTTTGATTTGTTTTCTAAGTATCCATTATGAGGAGTTGCACTCATTTCTTGTGGAATTCAGAAAACTTAAGATGTGTTTAAAAATTCCTTTTATAGGCCATCTCAATTCAAAGGTTGCCCATCAATCATAGAAATGTTTTCAGCCATCCCTAGTGTATACTTCTAAGAAATTTCCACATTCAGTCAATTTGACAGTTGAATCCGTGAACTCAGTCTGAAAACCCTTGATACTAATTATTGTATTACGTTCCTCAAAGAACAGGAAAGAGATTAAGATAACAATAGTTTGCATAATTCAAACTGTAATATGAAGCATAAAAAAGAGCATTGTGGTTTGTGGTATGTAAGCTATATGCAGAATATAAGAATGAACTTTTAAAAACAAATGTTCTTAAGAAAGTATCGTGTCATATATTTGAAGAACGTTGGAAACATTTCATCAAATTAAACTTACAGCAGAGTAAGTTTTAGCAAACAAAATATTATAATGATTAAAATGGTGAGTCCATTTAGACCTGATAAATTATTACTTTCTTCTGGTTGGGAAAGAAAAGTTAATTAGCACCTCACAAATCAACGATGATGATCGGAAGCTCCACTGTAAACACACCAAGTTTGAGGATTATTGTCCCTCAAAGAAGGTATGCATTAAGGATAATGTAATTCCTTATGTTTGTCTTTTAACAAGATGTTTATCAGATTCCTTTAGTTAATGCAAGTCTAGTTAGAGTTATTAAGTCACTTTTACCTGGAATGGCCCTTGTCCAGTTTTCACACTGTATAAATATAGGCAGAAAAAAAAAACCCTTCTAAGAAATAGCTTTGAAAGCAAAGGAAGTCTCTTGGAAACATAAAGCATATTTGGCATCTTCTGTGTCATGTATGAAAAGTTAATGGAATTGGTTTTTATGACTGGCTTATGGAATTGGTCTCATTCTGCTGTAACACCTTGTATATGAATAAATGGGTAGATCATGGACTCATTTCTGTGAAAAATCATGACTACTTTGTAGTAGAACTGGCAGGATTATCAGGAATTTATGGATTGGAGATTCATTTTGGTAAAAATGGAACTTGTTCTAAGCCAAATAATTGAATCAAACCTTTAATTTGTAACAGTTCACCAGAATTACTTGATTTGGTCTTGATAGAAAGGAAGATGAGAAAGGTTACTTGCTTGTCACTATGTCTGTTGGTTTTACAAAGAGAAATATGGAAAATGTCTTTCTTGCATATTCTGAGGCTTGGCTAATGGAAAACTAGCTGTGTCACTGGGAGTCTCTTCAGTCCAGACATCCTATCTTCCATGCCCCATATTCTCACTCTGGAAACCCCAATATTATTCTTTCTTATGGACTCCTGCTTTAAGAATTGTCTCTCTTGGGCTGGGGATGTGGCTCAAGCTGTAGCACGCTCGCCTGGCATGAGTGCGGCCTGGGTTCGATCCTCAGCACCACATACAAACAAAGATGTGTCCGCCGAAAACTAAAAAATAAATATTAAAAAAATTCTCTCTCTCTCTCTCTCTCTCTCTCTCTCTCAAAAAAAATATTAAAAAATTATCTCTCAAGGATAATATAGCAATTTTTATGTAATTTTATTAATACTACATGGAACTACATATGAGATTTTATGTTCACTGTGAAGCAATCTGTATTACTACAAAGTGACTTGACATTTTACTTCACTTGGAAGTCATTATATATAAACATGTATTTTCTCTCATTTAAAAAAAAAGTTGAAAATAACTCATTGATTCATAATTGTTACCTGCAAAGAGTCCATGCTGGTATTCTCTTATAGTCCTGTTAGCCAGCCAGCCAAAAATGGGTTACATATGGCACCAGACCCCTTCTGCGTGACCATAGATTGTAACTGCTGAGTGACTTCACTTGAGACAAGTTTAAGGCAATAAAGTGAATGCCTGAGAAAAGAAGTCATCAGTAGAGGTTTATGGGTTGTGGAAACAAAGAGCTCCAACTGTGCTCACCACAAGCTGAGTAGCATAAAAATCCAGAGAAGGTGTTTGAATTGATGAACTGTTTGAATTGGTCTTCTGACCTCCAGAGTGACCTTTGACATTACTTCTTCAGGTCTGAAAGATAATTGCCCTCCTCTCCTTTCCCCCTAAGGCAACCCTGGCAAGAATTTCAACTTTTCCTTTTGAAGAGTGATACCTGTGGTGCAGTGCATGGGGTCAGAATATGACCTTGCACATCTGTATTTCACTAGGACCACCAAATAGAGATGGCTGCCTCCATTGCTGTCTTTGGATGGGAACTTGCAAGAGTGCTTCCCCAAATCCATATAGCCTCCATCTAAACTTGTTTTCTTCATTGTCAGTTTTGGAGAATAATAATTTTATTATTCAGGGAGATGAAAATGAAATAAATTATTTGAAAGTAGTGAAATATGATAGTTATTTTGGATGATAGAGATTATTTTAAATTTCTCTATTTTTCAACGTGTCTGGCTACTGTCTTAAGAGCACTTCTGAAATTGCTATAATGGATAGCTTAATCAGTTCATATAAATTTGTTGTATACTGTTAAGAACTTTGATTGGAAATACAGTAAATCCTTTAAGAATTAGTCATTATAGAAAGCTGATTTGTAACAGTTAAATGTTCATATTACACTAAAGTGAGATATAAACACTCCTTTGTAACTTGCATGTCATTATTACCACACACAGATGTCTTGGCTCCAAGAGCACATGTATTAAATGAGTGCTGACTCGGATTTTTGCCAGGGTGAAGGCTTTAGTGATCTTAATAAGAGCCCAGAACATCGCATGATGGGAGCTCTAGGCCAAGTAAAGTCTGTAACTTTAGCGATGGAGAGAAGAAGCACTGTCCAGGTTTTCCCATGTCATGCTTCAAGCTGACTCATAGCTAAACAAAGCCTTATCGATACATGAAGACCTTAAGGGAAAAGTGGAAAATTTTACAGAAAGTTCTGTTTTAAATATGTTAAAAGAATTCCTTTTATAGGTTATCTTAATTCAAAGGTTGCCCATCAATCATGGATGCTTGAGATTGAGTTGCTATATGATACATCAGATCTCTAGGTTGGATTTTTTACGAAACTGTTCTCTACTGGGAATGAATCCACATCCTGTAGGAGGAAGTGTGAGCCTGGGTTTTCAGGTCCTGATTGAACCATCCTGATATTCCTGTCAAAACTTAATGTTTTAACTAGTGCTCTGATTAAGGACTTGCATACATTTTGAGTGGTTTGTCCCTAATTCTGTTAGCTTTAGTATACATATTTGCAGAATGTGAAGTTTTTTAGGAATGCATGTATTACATTTATATCAGAAGTGATAATCTACCCTGGTGAGTATCTACTTAGTAAACTACATATATGTTGATATATAAAATTAAATTTGGCAACAAGAATTCAGTGAGTAACTGAGGCATAAAAAATTTGTTTTGTTCTCATATGGTTAGAATGTTCTCTTTTATCAAGTTGCTCATCACTTTGAGACCATTGTAATCCAATTAAATGACATCACACTTTATTGAAACCATTGTAATCCAATTAAATGACATTAATATATTTTTGAGGTAGATGCTATTTGTTTTATCATTCTTTCAAGTAATATATTAAGAATGAAAACCCCCAAATTTAAATTTATTTGATTTGAGAGTGAGACTTCTAAAATGGAGTTGCTTGAGATTCAAACAGCAGCTACAGCAACAACAACAAAATCCTACAATTGTAGAGCCATAGTCAC